ATATATATATGTAATTCTTCATTTAGCCAATCCTCCAAACAACCAAGGCATTCCCCTCAGCCACTGCAGCCAGAACTAGTCACATTCTACAAACAGAAACAAGCCACACTTTGAAATTGAATGAGGCATGAACAAGAGTCTGATATCACTCCTTCATTTATCTCCTTGGTCAAACTTAACTTAAATAAAACCATAAAACCCCAGTCCCTCCTAAAACTCACAAACATTTATAATCATCCACCCTCTCCTAATCTTGCTCAGTACAAAATGTATTGCAATATTCATAGCCTGGCTTCATATTTATAGTCATTGCTAGAGATATCAATGGTGAGCATTCCCTCGTGGCTCAACTATAAGTTAATAAAAAAAGGAGTTTTATATCCACAAGTCAATAATACATTTCTGTGTGTTGACACTATAAATGATGAGCGATGATTATGGGAGCAGTGGTTTATTGGTTGAAAAGGGCCATGGGGAAACATGCCGAGTGTCTAAATTGAATTGTATGCTGTGAAAGAAGGCACTGCAGTGGTGCTGGGAAATGCTCAAAGATGCTAGATTTACAAAGGTTAGAAATAAACATGGTTCTGACAGAATTGTTATGAAAAATGTCTTCAGATGAAATGAAAACATCTCAAACAGGGAACTGTAATGGACAAAGGCTCCTAAAATGAACAGTTCAATTCAGTCCAAGTCAGGGTCCATTCAAATTCAACACTATATGCTCCACTTGTTTGCTGTATTTCAATAATTCACAGAATTTGTCATAATTGCCACCTTCATTTATGGCAACAGATGACATTAAACTAAGTATTTTAAACTGCAAATTTGTCCACATCACAAAATATATATTTTCTCTCTTCCCTCTAGTGGTTTCTTGCTGTGCAGATACTTGGGGTTTTATTTGTCCGGGTTTGGAGACACTGTATCTGTCTCTGTGATTTCTGTCATTGTGCCAAAACAACTGTGGTGGATGAAATTTTTTTTAATGTTCTTCTCAGTTCATGTAGTAAACAGTTTTCACTGGGACTACATGTTACCAACGAAACAATCCCTATAAAAACTGTTTAGTGTGTTGTGTGGGTTACCTGAGATGTTGTTTGTGGGCTAGCTGTTCCTCCCAGTAAAATTACAATCTGCCCTTTATTTAAATGCTAATTATGACCTACTTTTGTTTAATTACCATGCAACATCTAGGGGATTGTGTGTGCGTTATGACTCGTGTCTGTTAGGAGCAAAGGCAAACGTAGCATCAAAACTTTGCAAGGGTAAGGGCAGGGTAATGAGATACCAGTGTTCTCTTCTGATTTCCTACCAGCAGTCAACATTGGTCTCTTTGTAACATTGCCACAATTGCTGAGTATTTTAACCCAAAACATGATTTTTCCTGGCACTAATAAAGTAGATTTCAGTTGCCTAAACTTAACCAAGCTTTAAATGAAGCTTTGGCAAAAATAAAAACACACACACTCCCTACTGCACATCCACAATTCTGATGCCAACATATGACCAATGAACCAGTCAGTTCCTGAATGCTGTTCTTTTGTTCTTTAACAATTGCAATTCTGTTATTCTGTCTTTCAGACTTACTGTACAATTGCACAACCCACCAGAATGACATCCATGATATATGGGGAGACCCCCAACTCAAAGTTATTTAAGCACCGCAGAACAGGCTCCTGTTCTGCTTCCTGTCTTCATATGAGCCTATGCTCAATAAGGATGTGTTACATCAATGAAGTTGGATCCCCAAAATCTCTGATGCTAACCTCAGTATATTTGCACACTTCTAAATGATCTGTCACTATTAAACCATAGCTGCAGCAGATCAGAAAACCTGTGACTTTCTGTGACAGAAATAATGTGAATATACTGAAGCGTGGAGTTTGGGCGCAGCAAGTGTGATAATTTCAACTCAAAGTCAATTTACTTGATTGTTAAAAAATATTTCAGCCACCTCTCATGTGAATGTTCAGGATCAAGACCACCCACACCAAAGAATATCTTTGAACACATAATCAAAGTTCCATTCTTAGGTCAGATTATTAGCTGGAGTTAGTTCCATTGGCTAAAGAAGACCTGGGCTGCTTCCCAAATCTCTTTTATGGGTTTACTTTTCCTCATTTGTGGCTTTTCTAAGTGGCAGCCTCTGAGGCTGAGAAATGAAGCCAATGTGGAAGTGTTAAAACCTGCAGTTCCTCAAATGGCCACTTGAGGCCGGCTCCAAAATGGGAGTCGCTCCCCATAGACTCCCATTTTGAAATGGCCACCTTTACAACAGAAATAAAAATGTTTACAGCCTGGTACAAAAAACATTTTTTTGTCTCTATAGCTAATGTCCTCTTCTATGACATAGGTGTCGTTAGACCCCTTTTACTGAGACACGTTCCCCAGTAAACACACACACGAGTTTTAACAAGCCAAGCTTTATTTGGCAGTGGATTAATTTAGACTGATAACAGGGAAAGAATTGATTTGTTGTTATACAATGCCAAATCAAAACACAAGCCGAGGTGCAGTGGTCAGGGTTTGTACACCATGGTGCGCATATATACATGCCGTGCACATCATAGCTGGTGCACTGTAATGCATCGATCCATGTATTGTGCACAAAACAAAAGAAAGGAATAGACTGAGGTAGTGACAGGGACTAAATTAGGTTTCTGAATAATACCAATGATCTTATTTTGACTCAAACATTACTGACTACTGTAGATAGACGTAAGAAAGTTCTTCAGATGAGGCTGAGACAGGGAAGATTAGAGAGATGAGGGTGAGAGAGGTATGACCTGGCTGCAGTTGGTAAAAAAGGTAACGGAAGTTTAGTTACATAACCAGGCGCAGATGCTGAATGTAAAATAAATTAGAGCTCTGTACATCAATGCATATGACCAGTTGGA